GGGCTGGGCGTCATGTGGGTATCATGTTTGTGCTAGGCGGCCTGTCTGTTGGCCTTTGCTGCCTCCTGCTGGCTCAGCATGGACTCCTATGTAATGAACTGTGTGGGATCTGCAAGGTTCCTGGATTCAAGAGTGACTGCTTTTCACACTCCTCCCCACCCCCTTTTTATATTAAAACAGAAAAAAAAAAAACCCGACCAACCCCCCAAAGAAAAAACCAACCACCACCCCCAAAGAAACCCCCAGTTATTTATTATTGTGTGTACATCAAAGCTCAATGGCTGGCTTGTTCCCTCCTTCCGGTGTGTGGGTACCAGAGATCAGGTCATCGGCTGGGCAGCAAGGCCCTTTACCCATGAAGCCATCTTGCCGGCCTGTTTTTAGTTTATGGATACTGAAGCATGAACATCTTAGTGCTCCGAACATTCGTTCTATTGCTTTCCTTCCCAACAATGTCACCTCTGTGCTTTTGTCCGCACCTCTTCCATTGCCCCGCAGTCTCCTTGCGGTGAGTTGTGAGTTCAGCTCCCTGAGGGAGAGGTCTCTGTGTTGGTTATATAGATGTCTCCTGGGACCTAAAACAGTGCTGTATCCAGCAGGTGCTCAATAAATACGTGTGGAACTCAGGACTGGATGGGTTCTCTTCACCCTTCCTGCTTGCCTGCCTGCCTTCCTTCCTTCCTTCCTTCCTTCCTTCCTTCCTTCCTTCCTTTCTTTCTTTTCTTGGTTTTTCAAGACAGGGTTTCTCTTTATAGCCCGGGCTGTCCTGGAACTCACTCTGAAGACCAGGCTGCCCTCGAACTCAGAAATGCACCTGCCTCTGCCTTCCTGCTTTCTAACCGTCCCTTTTCAACCTACAACCAGCCCCTGCCAAGGTTACCTCTACCTCATCTCTCTGCACTTGCGGTTTGCCTCTAGCCTCCATGCTCTGGTCCAGTATCTGCTGGATGAACAGAGTCCCTGGAAAAAATAAGTTAAGCAGGGCAGGCTTGCTTAGGTATTTCTGTCAGGGGAGCTGGATCAAGGTTCAATTCCCAAGATGCTCTCTGCATATGGTGCTCCTGGACTCCCTCTTCCGATCAGAGTAGAATTGGATGTCTGCCATCCTTAGAAACCTGTACCACGTGACTTGATTCAGCCAATGAAAAGTGAGTGGAAGCCTTGTTTCCAGCTCGGAGTGCACACCCACGCACCCCGCTTTTCTGTACAAGGATGAAGAACGGCTCTGTCAGCCTGATGTCCGAAGATGTCCATCTGAATACGTCCACATGCAGCCGAGTTCTCATGACTTGTCACACCTATCCACCTGAGACAACCTTGTAGGAGGGGAAAAGGAAATCTTACAAGCTTTACAAGCTGAGGACAGCACGGGGCCAATTGTTACTGCAGCAAAATCCGGCTCATCCTGACTACACAACCATACCCTTTCCTTTCCTATCACCAGCATGCTGCCCCGACACAGCCACATCAACTCTGAAGCCCCGCGTCACAAGTCACAAGGTAGCAATGTAACAGAGTGAGAGTCCTGAAAATCTGAGGTCAGAGGTCATGGCCCACCCACAAGTTATATAATATAGTATATAATATTGTATGATACAGTATATTATACACATAATATAAGATATACAGGATTTTGTCGCTGATTTCATTGATTTTTAGATTGATTTTAAAGATTTGTCTATTGCTTTATTTCAGTCTTTTCAAAATAGGGTTTCTCCATTTCCCGAGTACTGGGATTAAAAGCACGTGCCACGAGGCCTGGCTTAGAGATTTGTTTTTATGTGTAGGTGTGTTCCTCTGTGGGGGTGTGGCACACATGAGTGTAGAACCTGAGGAGGACAGAAGAGGGCGCTGGATCCTCTGGAGCTGGAGTCACAGGCAGTTGTGAGCTGCCCAGTGTAGGTGCTGGGAATTGAACTCGGCTCCTCTGCAAGAGCAGCCATCATACTTAACTACTGAATCCTCCAGGAAACTTCAAATTTTGTCTTATTTGGTGTAGGACTTTGGCATATAATGGGAGGTGACACCATTCTGTCAGTAAGGAGGCCAGAGCGGCGTGGTGCTACAAGCCTGGTCTCCTAGCATTGTGGAATTGGGGACGGGAGGATCCTGAGTTCAAAGGAAGTCTTTGAATGTGAGGCCAGCCTGGGCTATATAACACCCTCCATCCCCCACCCCCGTCTCAAAGTGGGGAGGGGTCAGTGAGGTGACAGGATGTGGTGCACACTAGATTGGCAAATAATCACATGCTGTTTTAGCTCTCGGAGGTGGGGCTACTGATCCCTGATGTCTCAGTGTCCCCTGAGGCCCCTTGTCTGGGGAAGGGCTAAACAGCTCCACCTCGGTGGCAAGGAGGAAAAGACAGCAAAACAACCCAGGAGTAAAAAAAGAAAGCATTGCCTTTGAGAACAGCTAGAAGACAAGCCATTTTCAAGGTCTTACTATTCTTTTTTACTTTTTTTTTTAATTGTGCGAGTATGTCTGTGACTTCAGGAGTTACAGGCAGGTGTGCTGGGAATGGCACTCAGGTCCTCTAGGAAAAGAAGCACGAGCTCTTAACCGCTGAGCCATCTCTCCAGCCCATGGCTGTTACCCTTTGTCCTCCAATATAAAGGTGCCAGCAGTGAGAGAAGGAGCCAGGAACTCCATTCAGTCAAAAATAAATGCATTCAGTCAAAAGGGACAGTATGGCTCCTGCAGTTCATTCTCCAGACTCTCTGTGAAAGTGAAACAATCAGGCTCAGTGGCCTTATCTGGGAAGGGCTGCTTGAACCTGGGTTGAAGGTCTGTTTAGAAAGAGCTGGGAATAACGGACTCCCCGAAGAAGACACTGAAGTTAGGGGGTTTTTGCTCAGATAACTATCTAATTGTCATGGCCAATCTGTCTACAGCATCCTCAGGACCCCAACTCCTTCACTCGCTCTGTTTCTTGCAGGGAAGTAGAACTCTCTGTGAACTGTTGATAAAACTTCTATTTTTGATTCTACTGAACGTAACCCCACAGAGGCCAGACCTAGTTGCAAGGGCATCTGGAAAATGTAGTTTTTATGTTGAAGAGGCTGGGTCTCCACACCTGTGGTCAGAGTGAGCTGGGCTATGCTCCAGTAATAAGAAGCCCCGTTTTACCCACAGCGTGGTTCATTTAGGGTTTATTTCTCACTCCTGCGACACTTACTGTCTCAGGTAGTCAGCTATGAAAAGGGTCAGGAGAACTCAGCTTTGTGTGGGCTTATTCAGGAACCAGACTGACAGGGCTAGTCACTGTGACCGGAGTAGGGCGGGAAAGTGATGGCGCACCTGGAGTCCTGGGTACTACTTGCACTCACATTCCATTAACCAGAGCGCGTCACCTTTTGTATCCTAATTAGGGGCTGAGGAAGTGCAATTCCACCTGTGGCCACAAGAGGGAGGAAGAGCACAGTGTGAACATCTTTTGACCAAACTTTCTCACACACACTCTCTCTCAAATGAAAATAATTTTTAAAAATTATAAATTTGGCCAGCTGCTGGTGGCACACACCTTTAACCCAGCAATCAAGAGGCAGAGGCAGGTGGATCTCTGTGAGTTTGAGGCCAGCCTAGTTCACACAGCAAGTTGCAGGATAGCTAGGGCTACACAGAGAGACTTTGTCTCAAAAAAATAAGTTTTAAAAAGACCGTAATTAAAAACCCTGCTTTATTTATTCATTCTGACTCCTCTGGCCCTTAGGTCACATGGTTGATCTGGGTGGCAGCTTAGTCATGCACTGGTTGTATGAGATCAAAGCTTGGGGAAGTCCCTCGGAGGGGCTCATTTGCATATTGTCAATCAGCTGTGGCTGTAACTTCCCCTACCTGGGGTCCTTCAGTATTCCCATTTCCTGTTTGCTGGAACAACCTGCTGTGAACGAGTGGCTTAAAACCATGCGAGTTTATCATCTTATAGCAAAACGTCGGGAGTACAAAGTGGCCATCACTGAGTTCTTGAGCTCAGAGGCCACAGGGTTGTCCCGCAGGATTGGGGCGGGGCAGTTTCTTGAGCTTTCAAGCTTCCTGAGACTTCTCTCAGGCTTGTCTTCCCAGTGGTGGAGGATTCCTGTTTTGTCCCCCGCGGTTGAGGATTGAACCCAGGCCTCTCTCCTCCTTGGCAGTCCGCCTGCAGTGCCCCTGTCCCTCTCGGGTGGATTTCAGGAGAGGGCTGACTTATTAAGCTGAGTTCTCAGTCCCTCACTGGTGGGTTCTGGGCAGGTGCTCTACAACGGTGCTCCAGCCCCAGGCCTCTGCGTGGCTGATTTTGAAGCAGATCAGGGGTTGGGCAGTTAATTTGCCCAGGGCTGTTATCTTCCGACGGCTGCTTGGCTCTAAGAGCAGAGATTCTCAACCTTCCTAATCCTGAGACCCTTTAATACAGTTCCTCGTGTTGTGGTGACCCCCCCCATCATAAAATCATTTTGTTGCTACTTCACAACTGCTATCTTGCTGTTATGAATTGTAATGCAACTATCTGACATTTCGGATGGTTTTAGGAGAATTCTATGAGAAGGTCATTTGACACTCAAAGGGGTCGCGACCCACAGGTTGAGAAACCCTGGCGGTTGCGTGGTCTTCCTGGTAGTGCTTTCTTCCCAATGAAAGGGCTTCTGCGTAATCGGTTGAGGCAGGATGGATTTTTATGGTGGGGTACCTTTGAGGTAGACCCAAGGCCTTCTTCTCATCCCTCAAATACCTGGATGGGGCCCCTGGCCTTGGGTGGGGCAGGAGCCTGCTTTCTTTGAGGCTGGTGGCTCAAGAGGCACCGACCGAAGGTTGTTGGGACATTGGGGATCTGGGGCTGTGAGTCTCTTGTCCCGCGCAGCACCGTCCCCGTGTCATGCCGGGTCTATGGCAGAGCCTGTCTTGCCAGTTTCCTCACAGCGTTCTCCTGTGGGTGTCACGTGTGTCCTTTCTGTAGATGTGAGGTCCTGAGGGGTGGAGTCTGGAAGTTGAGATTCTGTCTTCTGTTCAGGCTGGGCCAGGGCTCATCAGGAAGTTAGCACCAGCTTGCAGTATGGGGCTGGGTCGGGATTTAGTAGGTCCTAGGAGGAGGGGGACAGGAACTGTGAGGGGCGGGAGAGGTGGAGGTAGAAGAGACACCGATGGGCGGTGGTGGCGCATGCCTTTAATCCCAGCACTTGGGAGGCAGAGGCAGGAGGATTTCTGAGTTCGAGGCCAGCCTGGTCTACAGAGTGAGTTCCAGGACAGCCAGGGCTACACAGAGAAACCCTGTCTCGAACCCCCACCCCACCCCAAAATAAAAGAGGCAGAAGAGACACATCGGTGGTGGTTGGGAGCGGGGTTAGAGTTGGGGTTGAGCATATGACAGACTGGAACCAGGAGACTGAAAGGGGTGAGCCCCAGAGTTAGGGGACACTAGGGAGCAGGGGAGATGGACCCAAAATAACAGGGGCAAGGCCAGACAGGAAAAAAGGAGGATGAGATACTACTAAACCAAGAAAGAGAGAAGGAGGGGGAAGGGGAGAGGAGGGAAGGAAAGGAGGAGGGGGAGGGGGAGGGAAAATGGATGAGAAAGGGGAGATGGGGAGGAGGAAGAGATGCAGAAAGAGGAGGAGGTGGGGGATGGAGAGTTGGGAGATCTATAGGAAGAGAAAGGGTGGAGAGAGGGAGAGAGAGAGAGAGAGAGAGAGAGAGAGAGAGAGAGATCAGAAGACCAGAAGAGCAGAGAAACACACATGGATGGAGACAGACTGAGGAGACAGAGGGGCACCCAGGGAAAGATTGTAGAGAGTTGATACCCAATCCAGAAATGGGTCCCCTCATGCATTGGGGTTCCATAAAGGCCTGACCTGCTCTGCTGTGTGACCCTGAGCAATCTCCTTTCCCTCTCTGGGCCTTGCTCATCCTGTACAGATCTGAGGCTTTTGATCATTTCTGCAGAGGAGGAACCCAGGCCCAGGAAAGCAATGGCTTGTTCAGTGGATCAATCTCAAGGAAGCCGAAGCAGGTTTCACTGGGAGATTTCTCGAGGGGAGAGAGGAGAGGATAGCCCTTGTCCCTGCCCATGGTTCTATGGGGTTCTTGGGGGGTGAAGGGAGCAATCCATACCTGATAGTACTGGTTCTCTGGCTGTGGCTCCTGAGAGGCTGGTGGAGGTGGAGGAGGCAGCCTCTGCAAGGGAGAGATACAGGTGAGGGCGTTCCCCATGGCCTCCAAGCTTTGATCCTGGTGTTATGTATGATGTAGGGACCCAGACCCAGTCCCCATTGGCCCTCTGGTTATGAGGCCCCTTAGTGCGGGTGAACACATCTTAGGCAGTGGTCCCACAGTGAGGGCTTTTGGCGTGCTCAGGAGCTTAGCTTCTCCCCAACACAGGGTTTAAGAATTTGCCTTTGTTTTCTACATTCTCTGTCTCTGTCAGCCTTTTAAAAATATGATTGTTGCCAGGCAGTGGTGGCGCACACCTTTAATCCCAGCACTCGGGAGGCAGAGGCAGGCAGATCTCTGAGTTCGAGGCCAACCTGGTCTACAGTGTGAGTTCCAGGACAGCCAGGGCTACGCAGAGAAACTCTCTCTTGAGAACACAAAACAAATCATCGTCAACAACAACAATTGTATGTAGGGTGTGACAGCACACACATGGAGGTCTGAGGGTGAGTTTGGGGAATTGACTCTCTTTGACTTGTAAGTGGGTGTCAGGGATGGAGCGCAGGTCCCCAGGTTAATAGAGGACGTGCCTTTGCCTGCTCAGCCACTTCTCTGGCTCCTTGTTTTCCTGATCCTTTAAAGAATTCTTTTAATTTTTACTGGTATGTGTGTCTGTATGTCTGTGTGTATGTGTCTGTGCTGTGTGTGATTGTGTGTGTATGTGTGCATGTATGGATGCATATATGTCTGTGTGTATGTCTGTGTGTGGTGAATGTGTGTGTGTGTGTGTGTGTGTGTTTGTGAACATGTATGTCTATGTGTGTGAGTGTGTATGTGTCTGTGCTGTGTCTATTTGTCTGTGAATGTGTATATGTGGTGTTGTCTGTGTGTGTCTGTATGTCTATATGTTTGTGTATGGTGCATGTATTTGTATGTGTCTGTGGTGTGTGTGTGTTTGTGTGTGTGAGCATGTGCACGTGGCTGCCCACTGAGGCAGTTGTGAGCTGCCCAATGAGGGTGCTGGGATCCAAATTCGGGTCCTTAAAAGTATCAGGAACGTGCTAAGGCACGTCTCCAGCCAACTCCCTCCACCTCCTTCTGTTGTTGTTTTGAGACAGGGTCTCAATCTAGCCCAGGCTTGTAGGGCACTCAGACTGCACTACCCAGACGGGCATCAGAACTGCTGAGGTAGGAATCTCAGAGATCTGAGCTGGCAGGAGCGAAGCTGTCCCACTCCAGCCTCGAATGCCTGCTCTGGAGCACCAGGTAACCAAGGCCACCAACTGAGAGGACAACGGGCACTCAGTCACATAGCACAGCACCTGGAGTTCTTCTGCCTCCAATGGAGGATGTCAATAGCCTTAGCCTTCAGCCAATGAGTGTCCCTTCCTGGATATTCTAATGCCCTTCCCCAAAATTATATAATCCCTGATTCACCCCGAATAAAGCATATGCATCTACCTCCACGCCCAATAAAGAAATACGAACAAGGGGCTGGAGAGATGGCTCAGCACTGAAGAGCCCTGGCTGCTCTTCCAGAGGTCCTGAGTTCAGTTTCCAGCAACCACATGGTGGTTCTCTAAGGGGATCTGCTGCCCTCTTCTGGTGGGCGGGTGTACATGCAGCAGAGCGCTCATACAATGAGAAAGGGATTTTTAAAAAAAGAAAACGAAACATGAACAGGCTAAGATCGTCTCACAGAGCTGCTTCTTCAAAGATCCCCACGGAGAAGGCCTTCATTGAAAGAGCCCTGACACTAAGATTCCCAAAGAAGGCCTTCTCCCTTCCCTCCCGCCCTCCGGCACTTGCTGCCACCCGGACCGGAATCCTGCTTGGCCCGGGCTCCGCTTTTCCTTTCTGGTTTGGCCTCAAGCTTGGAAGCTGACTTTAAACTCCTGATTCTCTTGCCTCCAGTGCCCACACTCTGGGATAATAGTTGACGGGGAAACCAAGGGTTTCTCTGTGTATCCCTGGCTGTCCTGAAAGTCACTCTGTAGACCAGGCTGGCCTTGAACTCACCACCTGCCTCTGCCTCCCAAGTGCTGGGATTAAAGGCGTGTGCCACCACTTCTCAGCCTGAAATCATGACTCTTTGGTGACTCTGCCTGCACACTGTATAGCTTCCATGAGCCTCACCAGTTCTGGGTGTGGCTGCCACGATCCTGTATGTAACCACAGAAAACTCACTGGTTTGACTTGGATGAAATCGTTGATTTAGCTGTCGTTGGGCTATCTCAGGTGAAGAGACATACAAGAACTGGAGAGGGGGGACTGGCAAGATGGCTCAATGTGGCAAGGTGCTTGCCACTAACCCTGATGATCTGAGTTCAAATCCAACCACTCACGTGGTAGAAGGAGAGAACTGACTCCCACAAGTTGTCCTCTGACCTCTGCATGCAGGTCATGGCGCATGCTTCTCCCCCCACCCCATCCCTCACACACAAATGAAGGAGAGGAAGACAGAATAAGTTGACTGGGGAGAGAAAGGATCGAGTCATGGCTTCCAGGTGCCCAGACACCATGGCTAACTCTGGGTTTTTCGAGAAGCAAGATCTAAGGGGACAGGACTCACCATGGGTGGGTTTTCTGACTCCATGTCACTGACAGGGGACACCAGGAACATTGGAGATGGCATCACTTCATAGATGTTGCTGTCACCTGAGGTAGAGGAGGAAGGGGGTCCTACAGGCAGATGGCTCACTCCTGTAAACTCGCTCTGCCTGCCTGTCCATTTCACTCACTTAGTCGCTCAACTAACATTTATGCAAATTCCTCCTCTTGTCAGCTGTGTGCTGGGGACACCGTGGTGGCCCAGACAATCCAGACTGCACCCTTCTAGAACTCAGAGTCCCCTGGGAGAGGAGAGACCCACGCCCAGAGAGTGACAATCCAGAGAGTCTAAGGCTGGGGGTGGGGGATATGGAAACATAGAAATAGGCCTGGCCAGCCTGAACGTCAGGGAGGACTACCTGGAGGAGGGGTCATCTGAGACAGTGGGAAGTGAGAACTGGGCAGAAGCAGGAGGGAAGCCTGCAGGAGCCTGGCAAGAGAGCCCACTGTGCAGATAGTGAGGAACCCGAGAGCCACGCTAGGGAGACACAAGTCTGTCCCGAGACACTGGGGAAGCTATGGAAGGCTTATTAGCAGGAGACATGTTAAGAGCAGGGACCCTAGAGGTTTAGGAGGGGCCTTAAATCCCTTTGATCCCCTCATGTGTCCAAGGGTCCCTGAGGGCTCTGACAGCTGGGGGCCTCTAACCCTGGAGACACAGAAAGGCTGGGTAGAAAGACACTTTCTCCTGGCTTACCAGACTCAGGACTCGTGTTCACCTCTGGCTTCTCTGTAGCTGGATTCCTAGGGGTACACAGAAGAACCCTGAGATGCTAGGGTGGGGGGAAAGGGACCCCGGCATCCTGGAGACTCTGTCTCCCTGATTCCCACCTGTTGACTTGATTCTCACCCAGATTGGGAAAGACAGGAGAGTCAGAGGGGAAAGAGAAGGGATGGAGGGCACAGAGGGGGTTCTGGGAATTGTACCTGGGGCTCCGGCCCTTCCGGCTTCGAGTGACCAGGAGGTAGGCAATGCCACATACAAGTAGTGACCCGATAGCAAGACTCCCAGTGATGATGGCTGCCGTGATCCCAGCATTGACAGAGAGGTGTGAGGTGGGCCCGTGTGCATCTGGGAGTGAGGGTTGTCTCAAGGAAGACTTTAGTCTGCCCTCACCTAACTCCTTTCTTTCCAGTGCCATGCCATGCAGGCTAGACATCCATTCCACCACTGAGCCACGCCCCCAGCCCCTCACTGGGGGATTCTAGGCAGGGGCTCTACCACTGAGCCACACCCCAGCCCCTCACTGGGGGATTCTAGGCAGGGGCTCTACCACTGAGCCATGCCCCCAGCCCCTCACTGGGGGATTCTAGGTCAGGACTCTGTTGCTGAGCTAAACCGGCTCAGCCCACTCTTCTGAGCTATCATTTTTAAAAAATATTATTTTGAGATAGGATCTCCTATAGTCCCATCAGGCCTCAAATTTACTATGTAGCTAAGGATGACTCTGAATTGTGCCGCTAAGGATGCTTATATTCCTGCACACGAGTGTGTATGTGTGTGCGTGTGTGTGTGTGTGCGTGCGTGCAGAGGAAGACCAGAAGTGGATGTCAAGTGTCTTCTTCAATCAGTGTCTACCTTGGTGTTTGAGACCTCTCACTGAGTCTGGAGCCAGCCCATGGCTAGGCTGGGTGTCCAGCAAATCTCAGCGATCCTCCTGCCTCTGAGACTGACCCAGACCTAGGATTACAGATGTTCACTACCACGTGCAATTTATATGTTGGTGGGGACTTAACCCAGGGCTTCATATGTACCAGGCATGCACTCTGCCAACTGAGCTACGTATACAGCCTACGTGAACTGGTTTGTTTGTTTGTTTGTTTTTTTAAGTTTTATTGTGTGCGTATGAGTATTTTGGCTGCAAGTATGTCGGTGTACCATGTGCATGCCACGCGCTTGCAGAAGCAAGAAAGGGCGTTGGAGCTCTAGATGGTTGTGAGTCGCTATGTGGATGCTCAGAACCAAACTCGGGTCTTCTGGACGAGCAGCCAGTGTTCATATCTGTAAGCGATTTCTCCAAGAGCCTTGTAAATCCTTTTAAAGAAATCAATCCTTTCTTTATTTTTCCCATTTTCCCTTCCTCTTTTCTGTAATTTTGAGGGAAAATTTCAATAAGTTGCCTAGCCTGGTTTTGGACTTTCTATCCTTTTGCCTCGTCACCAAGCTGGGCTTGCCTCTCAACCCAGGCAGAGCTCAAGGCCCTGGGCTGATGGGATTTAAAGTGTTCCGAGTCCCTCATCACTTCTTCATGCTGTCCATCAGACAGAAGCAGTCTCCTCTGGGTGAAGTGTCTCCCTCTGCTAACATGTTACTATTTTTTTCTTGAGCATAAACAGTGAGTTTATCAGCTGAGTAAGTGAAACATTTTAATTTCCAGAGCTGAAAAGGAAACAGTGTTTCCCACACCCCATTCTGTGAGTTGTTACTCTAACAAGCTTGAAGGTCTGAGCCCTCTTCTTTGTTTTCTGTTGGTTGGTTTTTGTTTTTCCAGACAGGGTTTCCCTGTGTCGCCTGGGTTGTCCTGGAATTCACTCTGTAGACCAGGTTAGCCGCAAACTCACAGAGATTACGTTGCCTCTGCCTCCAGAGTGCTGGGATTAAAGGTGTATGCCTCCATCACTTACCTTAGCCCTCTTCTTTGAATGTGGGACACTGACTGGCTTGTAATCAAAAAATGGCACATCAGTGACACTGCATGGGGACAAGGACAGAGTTAGCAGCAGCTAAGGGAGCTGGGGGTTACTGCTCAGTGGTAGAACCCCTGCCTAGAAGTGAGGGCCTCGGGGCAGGATCTTCCTTCTCTCCCTTTTTTTCTTTCTTTCTTTCTTTCTTTCTTTCTTTCTTTCTTTCTTTCTTTCTTTCTTTCTTTCTATTTTTCTTTCTTTTTTCTTTTCTTGGTGTTTTGAGACAGGGTTTCTCTGTATAGTTCTGGTTGTCCTGGAATTCACTCTGTAGACCAGGCTGGCCTTGAACTCAGAGATCTGCTGCCTCTGCCTTCTGACTGCTGGGTTTAAAAGCAAGCACCACTATTACCCAGTATTTGTTTATTTGTTTCTCTTTATGAGTTTATTTAGTTATTCACATGTGTGCCTGCATCAGCAAGTAGAGTTAAGAGGACACCTTTGGGAGTTGGCTTTCTCCGTTTACCTTGCAGGTCCTGGGGGACAAAATCAGTCCATCAGGCTTGGCAGCAAGTGCCTTCCCCCTTGAGCTATCTTACTGACCCTGTTGACATTTTTGAAACACAGTCCTGTTCAGTTGTCCAGTATGACCTGGAACTCATTATGTGGCTTGGGCTGCCTGAGAATTCCCCACTACCCTTCCTCAGTCCATCCAGTGGTGGGTGACACTTATATCCCACTACACCTAACTAAAAATCTTCTTCTTCAGCAAGACCTCTCTGATGACTTCCCCTCCTGTGTCATGTTAACTCCTTTAATTTTCTGAGCCAGGCAAATTATAACTCCAGCATGCCTCAGTTTTCCCATCTTTAAAATGGAGCTAACAATGGTGACTACCTTAGGAAGCTTCTTTAAGTGCAAAGTAGTTACTATATTGTGGTGGTCCTCATTCAAGGGTGACCCTGGTTCTGGGGGACACTTGCCAAAACCTAGCATATGATTCTTATGAGTAGCAAGCACTAGTACTGTCTCATAAGAAGTAAAACTTCTATGAGATGCAGTCCTCTACCCGAAGCTATTAGCCAGTCCTAATGATTAGCGTGATCTAGGGAAATTCTTTAGATTCATACTTGGCCAGGTAAGATTCCCAAGTAGTGTTAGATAGCAGTCTTGTTTCCTACTTGTCTCTCAGCCCTTCATCTGGAACGGCTACATCAATAAATACTTGAGCTGTGATCACGAAAATTGAGCAATTCATCAGGGCCAGGCATATAAACGATGCTCAAGGGATGTAGGAATAAGCAATGTACGGGGAGAACTAATGAAATGGGGTGTATCTTAGGGTCTGGGAGATCCAGGGTCTGGTACTCCGCAGGTGCTCAATCAATGGACACTGTGCGTAATGAATGAAGAGGCCAAATGAAATGGTGTTTGCACTTGGCCTCCCCCCCCACCACAGCCGTCCCGCTTACCAGCCACCTGGACGTCAATCTTGACCTTCATTGTCCAGGCAGGGTTCATGGTGGCAGCCACCTGGTAGGTGCCGCTGTCTGAAGGTTGGGCACTTCGAAGCAGCATGGAACCGTTCGGGAAGCCAACGATGTCTCGCTGTCCCATGGCACTGCCGTCCCTCTGGGGCCGTGGTAGTCCAGGGATGTAAGAGAACAGCCTTGTGCCCCCAGAAGCCTCCTCCCCCAGGTACCAGACAAAGTCCTGGGCAGTGCCAGGGACACCATGAAGGGACAGGAGAAGGTCCTGGTTCTTTTGAGGCTGCTCTGGAATCATCTGGATGTGGAGGGCTGCCTGGGAGCCTTGGGGCAGCCGAAGGGCCAGGAACAAGGCTGTTGGAAAGTATGGAAGAGACCTGAGGTCAAGGGTTGGTCAAGGTAACAAAACTTTCCTCTCTACAGACTCTCAACCACAAGCAAAGACCGTAAGGGCTGCACATTGGAAATGACAATGAGATTGATTAGTGATGTCTGCCCTGGGAGTAGGAATATAAGCACAGATGCTACAGATCTGCCACCCCATTGGCAGAAGGTTTTTCTGCCCTGAGATGCTATGTGGTCTGTCCCTAAACATTTGGACCCTCTGAATTTACTTATTCAATCAACATTTAAAGGCATATCTATTCCATTTCATCATAGGCCAATTACATCATCTAGGTTTGTCTCTTCCTCTTCCTCTTCTTCCTCTTCCTCCTCCTCCTCCTGTTCTACCTTCTCATTCTTCAAGACAGGGTCTCTCTGTGTAGCCCTGGCTGTCCTGGAACTCACACTGTAGACCAGGCTGGCCTTAAATTCATAGAGATTCATTTGCTTCTGCTTCCTGAATGTTGGGATCAAAGTCATGCGCCGTCACCTCCTGGTTTCTTCTTCTTCTTTTTTGAGTCAAGATCGCCTGGAACTGAATTCACTATGCAGTCCAGTTCCAATTTGTGATCCTCCTACCTCAGCCTCCAAAGTGCTGCCATTACAGATGTGCACCACCACGCCTGGCTTGTTCCTAGATTTTTGCTTTTTATTTGAAACAAGGTCTCAAGTAGACCGGGCCAGCCTTGAACCGGCTATGTAGTTCAGAATGTCCTTCTACCTTCCAAACTCTGGGAATCTACGTGTGACTCACCTATCCAGCCTCAGTCTCTAGTCCCTTCCCTCCCTCCTTCGCTCACTCTCCAGAACCCAGTAGGAAAGCAAACACTAATTCCTACCCTCATAGTTACATTCTAGAAGATTCCATAGATGAAACAGGGTTGGAGCGGTGATGTCACTACCCTGCCCCATCTTGTCCCTCAGCCCTTTGAGGCTGTTTCCTCCTTACCTAAGAACAGGAGGCCCTTTGAGAAGCAGCCTGGGATCCAGGTCCAAATCTCCATCTTGCTTCCTGTAGAGACAGCAAAGGCACTGAGAGCCACAGGCTGGGGTCTTGCTCTCTGGAGAGTGAAGGTCAGTGGAGCATCCAGCGGGATACCTCGGGACACAGCCAGGCTCGGAGGCTGCCGAGCCCGGCATCCCCTTCCACTGTCTCCCAGCCTCTCGGGGCTCCACCCAGGCCCTGAGATGAAGCGCAAGCACTGGTTGGACCAGTCTTCCCAGGACTCCTCCCAGCCCCTCCATTCTCTTCTCACTCAGCGTGGCTGGCTAAGGGAAAACAGAGGCAGCCTCTGTTTGAGCAACACTCCCCACCCATCCCCACTACCTATCCTTGAAGCCAGGACGGACAAACTGAGGTTCAGGGAAGTGTGAAAGTCAGTGAGGAGCAGAGGGAGGTTCTTTTTTTTTTTTTTTAAATCTGGGGCAGGTTCACGCTAAAGGATTTAACTTTTTCTTTTAACATTTATTGTGTGTGTGTGTGTGCGTGTGTTGGGGAGTGGGCAGAGTGCCTCCCTCCACCATGTGGGTCTTAGGAATTGAACTCAGGTTATCAGACTTGGCCGCAACTGCCTTCACCCTCTGAGACATCTTGTCATACTTAGCTTTTTGTTTTGTTTTGTTTTTCTTTTCTTTTCTTTTCTTTTTTTTTTTTTAAGAAATTCCATGACCCTTGCCCAGCCTGTGACCCGACGGGGCCTAAGAAGTGTTCTCCTGCCGGGTGGTGATGGTACACGCCTTTAATCCCAGCACTTGGGAGGCAGAGGCAGGCAGATTTCTGAGTTGGAGGCCAGCCTGGTCTACAGAGTGAGTTCCAGGACAGCCAGGGCTACCCAAAGAAGCCCTGTCTCGAAAAAACAAACAACAAAAAAAGAAGTGTTCTCCTTGTCTTCAGCTCTCTGTGTATCAATCACAGCCTCCCTTTCAGACCCACTCCTAGACATGGCTGTGATCAGAGGACAGATGAAAATCAAGGGGGACTCGGAGAGCCCCTGGGATACCTCCGTCTAACCTAAGAGGAAGGGAGGGCTCCCTGGAGGAAGAGACTTGGAATCAGGAAAGAAGTGATGGGCGAGCCTGTGCCCCAGGCTGCCCAGCTCATGCAAAGGAAGGGGGTGGAGGGGTGGGGCTGAGCACCCCAGTGCATCATGGGAACTGTGAAATCTGGGTCACTGAGGTACTGGGAAGGGCTGTGTGAGGCTAGTTGGTGGGAGAAGCAGGCTCTTCAGTTCTGCCAGGTTTTGAGCTCTTCCTGATCTGAGCTTGGGGTGAAGGGTTCAGGGCTGTCTTGATACTGAAATAGTACACTACATTGGCTGTTTATATAAAATTAGAAATTAACTATAAAAGTGTTTAAATGGTAGGAGAATGGTAAGAGACAGGAGGATGGATGTGATCAAAATGTATGTTGGGGCCACTAGATGGCTCAGCAGGTCAAGGAGCTTGCCACCAAGGTTGACGACCTGAGTTCTATTCTCGGGGCCCACACGGTGGAAGGAGAGAACCAAGTCCCACGAGTGTCCCACAGAAGGTCTTCTGACCTTCATACACAGGCTGTGGCATGATGGCACAGACCTTTAACTCCAGCTCTCAGGAGGCAGAGGCAAGTGGATCTCCGTGACTTCCAAGCCAGCCTGATCTACGGAATAGACCCTTCAGTCCCTACTTTGGGGCAATCAGGAATTGTGGCTTTTTATGTCGGGTCTACAATCACCACATCACACTGAGCTGGGTGGGAAGTCCGGCCTGGAGCCCTGGGCATCTTTCTTTACTCACTTGGCTGCAAACAGCCCCACAACTGGTCCTCTGAGAAATTCAAATCAACATCATCTCCTCCTGTGCATGCCTGGAGTAGCAGCAGCCTGCAGTCACTAACTTTAACTGTCATTTGGACCAGCCTGCTGACCCACGCCCAGCCCTCCAATAGAGCTCCCGACCCCCTCCTTCTCTATACCCGGAGGGCTTAATGGTGGTGTCTCCAGGCATCTCCCAATGCTCATTCTCGCTACAGACCTGTCAGTACTCTGTCTGCCACCAAGTGGGTGTAGACAATGAGGCAATTGTGTTGAGAATCTAGGGGAGTGTTTCTCAACCTTCCTATCTCTGGGACCACGTAATACAGTTCCTCACATTGTGGTGATGCCCCCAACCATAAAATTATTTCCGTTGCTACTTCATAACTGTAATTTTGCTACTGTTTGTAACCTAATTGTAATGTAAACCCTAAGGGGTCTCAACCCACAGGTTGAGAACCACTGATCTCGAAGCTGTTTGCAGAAGAGATGGAAAGATGGCTCGGCACATAAGAGTACTAGCTGTTCTTTTAGAGAACCAAGGGTTAGTCCAGAGGACCCTGCTTGGGTTCCCAGAACCTATGTGGTAGCTTACAGCTATCTGTCACTAATTCCAGTTCCGGGGATCTGGCGCCCTCTCAAGGCCTCTTTGGGAACTGCACTTACCTACATGGGCTTACACACAGAGTCAGGCTGGGGAGAGGTAACGTGCTTCCTTTAGAAGCTTCAGGACCTGAGTTCGAGCCCCTGGACATACATAAAAAAAAAAAAAATCCTTGTACTGCGGTGTGTGCTTGTAATCCCTGTACTGGAGAGGTGGGGACAGGAGGATCCCTGGGGCTGGATGCCTGCTCAGTCTAGCTGAATTGTGACCAGCAGACCAGTGAGGGGCGCTATAAAACAATACAAATAATAAAGGCAGATAGCCAGGCGTGGTAGCACACATCTTTAATCTTACACTCAGGATACAGAGGTAGGCTGACCTCTGAATTACAGGACAAACCTCTATGTAAGGACAAACCTGTCTCTAAATAAATAAATAATAAATAAGTAAGGGAGGAAGATACCAGCGTTTATTATAACACTTAGACAATGATAACGGGGTAAGAGGCAAGCCAATGAGACCAGACAGCTAATGTTGCCCAGAGGGGTTTCCTGTCTTCAGAGGCTCATGGGAGAAGGGGTTGACTTCTTCACAGGGTCTGAATCTTGAAACCATGGCTGGGATGCAGCATCCATCTTGGCATCAGCCTGAGGTGGGTACCAGTGTGTGGCGGGAGATGGGGATGAGGAATAGACAGGCAGCCGGGCTGCACATCGTGCTATAGCCAAACCAGATAACCCCGCTCCTGTCAGCCCCAGCCTGCTGGCCCGCCAGGGTTCCGCTGTGGGGGGTTGAAGCATCTGAAAACCACATTCCTTTTTTTTTTTTTTTTTTGGTTTTTCGAGACAGGGTTTCTCTGTGTAGCCCTGGCTGTCCCGGAACTCACTCTGTAGACCAGGCTGGCCTCGAACTCTCAAACTCAGAAACCCGCCAGTCTCTGCCTCCCAAGTGCTGGGATTAAAGGCTTGCGCCACCACTGCCTGGCTCTATTTTTTTTTTTAACAACATGTACTTATTTTGTGTGTGCTCATACTTGCCACACCGCATATGCGGTGGTCACAGGCCAACTGGTGGGGAGTTAACTTCTTCCAGAATTTGGGTCTCAGGAATTGAACCCAGGGCCTTATGCTTAGGGGCAAGCACCTTTACCTTCTGAGCCATCTCAATGGCCCCTAACATGACATCTTATATAAAGTTGTCTTTCAAGCTGGACAGTGGTGGCGCATGCCTTTAATCCCAGTACTAGGGAGACAGAGGCAGGTAGATTTCTGAGTTCCAGGCCAGCCTGGTTTACAGAGTGAATTCTAGGACAGTCAAGGCTACACAGAGACCGTCTGAAAAAAACCAAACCACTCCCCCACACACAAACCAAAAATAAAACAACCCCCCCCAAAAAACAAAAATAACCAACCAAACAAAAACTAGATATGTGCATTCCTTCCTAGACTCCCCTGCGCTGCCAGTGCTGTCTTCGTGAGGGCTTTGAGGCCTTTCTAAGGCCAGACTCTTAA